TTGTAAAAATTTATATCACATATTAAAAACATCTTTATATGATAAATAAATTAAACTTAATTTTTATAAGATTTAACATATTTATTTATATGTTTTTATTAGTGTTAAATTATTATTAAGTAGGTTTTTAAGATTGTTATGTTATCAAACATTTTAAAAAATGTCTATGACAGATAAATATATAATATTTATAACATGTATTTTTAACAAAAATTAGGTTTAAATATATTAAATTATAATATAACATAATCTGACCTAGTTTATTTTCATCCTTAATCATAATTGTAGATATAAAAAATTGTAAAAAATAACTATAATATATATATTTATACTTTCAAAAATTATATATAAAATTTTTAATATTACAAATATACAAATAAGTATTGTCCTCACAATCTAAAATTTCTGGATATAATCTTCGAACCAAAACGACCCGTTCCAGATGCAAAATTAACACACCAAGAGTGAAACCAGAACGGGCCGCTCTGGTTCCAGATGCATGACAAAAATTTGACATCCACGTGGCATCTACGTAGCTTCCACGTGGCATCCATGTAGCATCCACGTGGCTAACAGTTAACTCTGTTTAAATAATTTTGACCGAAGTCCGACATTGCAACCAATTAATTTATTAGGGACCAAATTGAGACAAAAAATAAAAGTGGGACTAAATTGAAACAAACAATTATTATAAAGGACCAAAATAGGTTTTTAGGCTTTATACTATATTAGATGTACACATAAGATTTTATATGGATATAATTTGATTTTATAATTTCAGTAGAATCTTATGTTTTTTGTTACGAATCTATGATTTATGATTCTGTGACCTAATTTTGCATCAAACTAAAATCTCGATTTTGATTATCTTGATATTGAGAAATAAGAAATAAATAGTATGATGAGATCTATTTAAAGTAAAACAAGAATTTGATGAATTGTGTTAAGTCTCAATTATACTTCTTTTTGGACAAGACTTATTGAACAATTTCACTCATCCTTTGCACCATTGCAAGATAATTGTTCTCTTTTTGATTCATTTTGTATGCAGATATAGCTAACCCAATTTCATCTAACAATACCTTAATACACCTCATTTTTTGTGTGGGTATTGAGTGAAGAGTTGAAAGTTGAAGATCCTTTGGATTGGAAATCTAAAGAGCTAAGGAGCAGAGAAGAGTGACTGCGCCGGGCGCGAGACTACCCTCGCCGGGCGTGATCGAGACAGAGAGTAACTTAAACTCTTTGGAAGGCATTGCGTCGGGCGTAAAAGGAATTGCGCCGGGCTTGTCCTGAGGCAGAGAGTATTTGACCTTCCTGGAAGGTCCTGCGCCGGGCGCAAAGACTTATGCGTCAGGCGCATAACCCTAATCTGACTCCCCAAGCTCGTATTTGAAGACATTTTCGAGGGCTTCTTCCTCATTCACACATTGGACGCGTTTGAGGAGCTAAGGAAGGGATTCCCAAAGCTTGGGACCGTTCGTGTGTGGGTCTTTCCTTCGGTTCTTCATTCTCTCTTCCATCTCTATTTTTTGTTACCCTCATTGTTTTGAGTGGTTCTACCCATCATTTTGTGAGGTTAGATGTAACCAACGAATTATATTGTAATCCTTACGTTTTAATGATATATATACATGTTGTTTCATTCATTGTTGTGTATGTTTCTATTCTTAATGCTTGCTTTGGATTGATTCTCCATTGCATGATATAGGTTCCATTGGGTGTTGGAAAATAACCATTGAAACTAGCTCTGAAACAAATGCCTAGTGGGAAATGTATCTAGGAATGGAGCTTGGCCTATTAGTAGTCTTAAACCCTAGCCCGTAATGCGGGTGTAGGTATTGGATACTCAAGGAATTGATATTCAATATCCGCACCTAGGCTCTTGCTCTAAGAGATTAGGTTTGAGTAAACTTATGGGTTGACTAAGCAATGTATGTAACAAGAGATTAAGGATTCATTAGTATAACGTTCGGTGAAATCTGACCCCACAATCTCACAAAAATCATAATACCATTTCTATCCTTTTCCACTCACAATCAAATATTTTTATAATTAACATTCCAGTAGTCATACTCTTTAATTCACATTTACATGACAAACTACAAAATTGGAATTATTCTTTAGTCACGAATAGTCAATAAATGCTTATTTTACCTACTAATCCCTGTGGATACGATAATTTTACTACTTGAATGGCCAGTATACTTGCTGTGTTTGAGACCGTTGATAGAACAAAAATGATTTAAAGTGATAACAAAAGTGGTTCAACGGAAATCTCAACAAGTTTTTGGCGCCGTTGCCGGGGATTAGCAAGGTAATTTAGTATTTATAGCTATTTGTGACTTGTTCCTTTACTTTTATTGTTAATTTCTATTTTCGCAAATGAACTCTTTGGGCTGACTTGTGCACTCTAGTCTTTTGTTTTCTCTTGTATGCAAGGTACTATTCGAACCAGAGGTACTGCTTCTTCTGAGCCGCTGTTGGACGATCCTGAGATTGAACGCACGGCAAGGAGGAATAATAGCAACATGAGGAGAATGAGGAACAGAGTAAATCCAGTTGGCCAACCAACCACTCATATTCCTGAAGTTTTTGTTTCTGATATTCCTGAGTTCACTATGGAAGGTGACGGTGGTGCTCACAATGAAAATCCAAACCGAAGGCGCACTATAGGTGATGCTTTCACCTACACTAGCCCGAGGGAATTCTCTAGCATTGTGAGACCTACAATGAATGACAGACTAGCAGAAATGAAGCCT